TTTTTTTTTGAGACGGAGTCTTGCTCTGTCACCCAGGCTGGAGTGCATTGGCATGAACTCAGCCCATTGCAACCTCTGCCTCCTGGGTTCAAGTAATTCTCCTGTCTCAGCCTCCTGAGTAGCTGTGATTACAGGTGCCCGCCACTGCACCCAGCTAATTTTTGTATTTTTAATAGAGACAGGGTTTCACCATCTTGGCCAGGCTGGTCTCAAACTCCTGACCTCATGATCCACCCGCCTTGGCCTCCTAAAGTACTGGGATTACAGGCGTGACCACCGCACCTGGCCCCACATGCATGCTTACTGGGCAACTACATCCACTCCAATGGCTTCACCAACTCTATGCCCTGGTGATTCCCAAACTTCTAACTCTGCTTTCACTCATGAGCTTCATTTCCAACAGTCTGTGCCTGTCTCCAATCCTATGTCCTATAGGCACCACCACCTCGATCTGTCCCATATTAACCTTGTCACTTCCCCTTGACTCCCTGAAATGTGGGAGTGAAATGTCACTTCCCCTTACCTCCCTGAAATCCTTCCTCTCCCACATTGCTTTAGAATGGCAGAACCTGCTCAGAAATCTGAAAAGCCTACTAGAATCTTTCATCCTCCTCACCAGGATCTATCAGTTTTACCTCAGAATATCACTGACACCTGTCCCCTCCTCATCCTTCCCAGTGGAGGCCCACTACAATGGCGTCCTCACTGGTCTCAAGCATTCTCTTTTATCTCTGCAATGCATCCTCCATGCTGTGGTCTGAATGGTCTGTTATACTGTCCTTAAACCTGTGATGGCTTCTTATCACCTATGGCATATAATCCAAATCCATTAGAAAGATATTTGAGGCTCTCTCCTTCCATTCCCCCGACATTCAACCTTCACTGTAGATATGGACTCTAGAACCAGATGGCCCAAGTTCAAATTCTGGCTCTTGTCACCTACTGAACTTGAATGTGAACTTCAGCAACCTAATGAACTTCCTTCTGATTGATTCCTTATCTATACAACGGATAATACAGATGCTCCCCAGTTTAAGTCCCAGTAAACCCATTATAAAGTCAAAAAATGGTTAAGTCAAGAAGCATCTATAATTTGCCTCTCAAGGGACTTTTCTATGGACTGTGATCATTCAAGTCTGAGTCTGGAACATGTGGCAGGGTGCCTGTCACTGGAATGGACTCAGTTCTGATTTAAGTAGCCTTGGCTATATGTCATGCACACACCAGCTCCTCTCCACAGGTATGCTCCATCCTCTGGTCTCCCCACTACAAGGAGCTCATCTCAGGCCACGGCTTTTCACAGAACCAGCTGGTTATTTGGAAGTACCCAACCATGGCCAAGGTGGCTGAACTGAAAGGTAGGTGGCTTGGTGAAAAGCTGGACATAAAAGGCCACATACTGTTTGACTGAAATGTCCACAGTAGGCAAATCCAGAGACAAAACACATTAATGGTTGCCAGGGGCTGAGGAGAGAGGGTAATGAGAAGTGCTGAAAATGTCTTAGAATTAGTTTCAGCACTTGTACAATTTTGTGAATATACTAAAAACCACTAAACTGCACACTTTAAAAGGATGAATTTTATGGTACGTGAATTATATCTCAATAATGTTGTTACAAAAAAAGGGAGGCGTGTGACCTAGTGCCTCCTTTATGGGCGGGCTATGGCTGCATCAGCATTCATATGTACTGCTCTCATTTGCTCCAGGTCACACATCCCGGGTCCTGAGTCTGACCATGAGCCCAGATGGGGCCACAGTGGCATCCGCAGCAGCAGATGAGACTCTGAGGCTATGGCGCTGTTTTGAGTTGGACCCTGCACGGCGGCGGGAGCGGGAGAAGGCCAATGCAGCCAAAAGCAGCCTCATCCACCAAGGCATCCGCTGAAGACCAAGCCATCACCTCAGTTGTTTTTTATTTTTCTAATAAAGTCATGTTTCCCTTCATGTTTATCTGTTTCAGCTAATCCCTTTATTCTTTCATGACTTATGTCCTAGCAGCCTTCCTAGGGGCTCTACTCTACTGGGATCAGAGAGCTAGAAATGTCCGCTGGGAGACTTGACCATCTATCCCTCCTGTTTATGAACAGGGCCAAGGCTGTTGTGTTTTCCCACCTCCTCCATTCACATATGTATACACACAGCCTCTGTGGTTTCCTCTGTCACTTTTAATTAAGACAAGTGAGTAAGCAGCCTCTACAGGCTGTATTCCCAGGCCCCCGCCCACCCTGACCTTTGGCCCAGAAGCTACTGCTTCAGTGTATGGGGTGGAGGAAGGAGACTGGGTCCACAGTGACAGGTTATTGCTGACCTCTTCAGTGTGAGGAAAAAGGCCATGAGACCCTCGTGGGGCCAGCCCTGAGTGCTCCTCTCCCAAGTTTAAGGCAGGGAGGGGGAAGTAACTGTCCAGCCCTTTTAGCCCCCAGCTCTGGAGTGGCAGACAGCAATGAGGCCACATCCCTGGAGCTGGCCGGGGGAAGTAGGTGAGGAACGGAAGCGTGGTCCCTGTAGACCAGCTGTGGGGAGGGGAGGGCCAGTCCCCTGCTCAGTCCTGACCACATAAGCCTTGGTCACAGGTGTAGGTGAAGAGGGCACTGATGGACACTGCCCAAGATGCAGTCCTGAGGCACTTAGGTGTGTGCCTATCTAGGCCATGCTTCTCAGTTGGCCTTGACCTTGGCAATATCTGGAGCTCCATTTTGCTGAAGTGCACGGGGCAGCCGCTTGCCCTTGGTGTAAGAGTGATACCAGAAGTTGGAGAACAGCACGAAGAAGATGGTGCCATACATCCAGATAAGGTGAATTATGACTGGGTACTGGTAGTTACAGCTGGACATAAAGTAGTACTGGGAGATGTGCAGTGAGACCAGGACAAACTGGATCTAGGACAGAGAAAGGCCAGGGTCAGAGGGAACAGTGAGGACTAGAGGGGAAGAGGGGGTAGAGAAAGAGATAAACGTTGAGTAGGGAGAGATGGGGTCGAAGGTGAGAGACTGGGTAAAGGCAGGATCCAGGCTAGGAATGTGGGGGGATGCTTATAGGTAGGTCAGGCCAAGCCCCTCACCAGCTGAATGGCTGTCATATGCTTTTTCCACCAAAGGTAGGGTTGAGCCACAGGGCCAAGGGCAGACAATCCGTAATACAGGTACATTATGACATGCACAGAAGAGTTTATCATGGCATGGAAAGAGCCCATTCCTCCTGTGAGTGTACAATAAGACAGCGTCAGCAGAGCCCAGCCCCTGGTGCCCACCCTCTTCCCATAGTGGCCTTCTCCACTCACCCGGGGCAATCTTTATCCCCCACCACCAGCTCCAGGGAAGCACAGAGTGATGGAAGACATGTAGGAAGGTCACCTGCCCGTCTTTCTTTCGGAGAATAAAGATCACCTAAGAGAAGAGTGAGGGAAGGGGTTTCAGAACCTGGCCTCTCCACCTCATTCTCCCCACAAGTTCTCACATCTCATATAACTACTCACTGTGTCCATCAGCTCAATGAACTTGGAGAAGAGGAAGAGCCAGGCCACCCGAACCATCTGCAAGAAGTTAGGACAGCCTTAGGACCTCATACACTCTTCTAAGAGCCTGCCTAAACTGGGCCTTGAGCACAGGTCCCAAACTGGTCCTATCCACCAGGTTGCTTATGACCTAGCCCCAGTCCCTACTTACCCTAAGTGCCTCAGGGCTGTTGGAATAGTCCACAGGGTCACAGCGCCAGGTATAGGTGCTCAGCCAGCCCGACATCAGGAACTAGGAAGGGGTGTGGATTAGACCACCAGAGTTCCCCCTTCCCAGCCATCCCTCCCCTTCACTAGCTGAGGACATGGATCTGAACCTCTCTGGAAAGGAGAAACGCCATGCTCTGGCTGTATGGCCTGCTCCTTATCCTGCTGACAGAAATTAAAGCCCGGCATCCCAGGGGCCCACCTCATAGACAATGTAGAGGGAGAGTGCCACCAGTGAGAAATTGTAGACAATCATGAAACCACGGAGCTGGAAGGGCTTCCGATTAGCCATGATGCGAGGCCCAAGTGAGAGAACGAAGTACACGTAGGTCAGGAGGATGGAGGTCATTAGCAGCGGGGACCCCATCAGAGGGTAGCCCTGGATCCGGGGATCTACGAATAAGGGTCCAAGGAGTTAGAAAGGGTCACAGGGTTCAAAGGGTCTTCATTATGTCTACGGACATGAGGTCTGGTCACAAAGGGTCAAAGGGTCCACAGGAACTCTTCATTAGAAGACAGCCCTAGATTCAGGGGTCCCGAGAAAGAAAGGAGGAAAGGGCTGGTAGACAGTGTCTTACCTGCATGCTTTATCATCTCCTGGTACAAGTTCACGACAGCCTCCATCCTGACTAAGGACTCTGGGGAGGTACAGAGGGTAGACGTCAAACAGAGTCCACTGCACACCCCCATCCCACAGAGATGACACAGAACCAGACAACTCCCAGTGCCTCATTGCAGAAAGGACAGAATAGTGAAAGGAAGGAATTACTGGGGACTAGGGGGAGGAGGCAGTTTGGTGGAGGCATCTGCTCCCCACACATCCTGCCTGCCTGGGAAGGGCTGTTCCACCCTTCCTCTCCACACCTTACTCTGCTCTCCTCTCCACAATTTTACTTCCTGGCCTCCTTTTCCCTCTTCCTCCGTAAGAGAACTCTCAATTCCAGGTCTCTTACTGGAGAGTCTTACCTCCTCACCAACAGGGAGCTCATCTTCAGAATGAACTCCGTCTCCCCTCCTCACCCAAGTTCCTTACCTTTCCAGCTCTGGGTCTTTCTTCTCTCCAGGGATTTCTCCCCTTCAATCTCTCCTCTCCTGCTCTCTCCTCTTCCCGTCCCTATGGACATTTCCTGGGACTCTCTTCTTCTCCCCAGGATCCCTCCTGTCCCTGCCAGGAATCTCACCTCCCTGGGCCTTTGTGTCCCTTCCAGAACCTTATCCTGGGATTCCTTCTTGCCCCTGCTGGGACACTCATCTCCCTACGTTTCTCCTCTGCCTTCCCGGGGCTCTCACCTCCAGCCTCTCCTCTCCGGCGCTCTCCTCTCTCCTCTGGCAGAGCCCTTCCTCTCCTGGAGTCTGGCTCTTTGAGACTCCTGCCCCGGCGGCTCCACCTGTCTGACTAGATCTGGCAGCAGCCCCGCCCTCCGCCCGCCCCCGCTGTACTGCGCATGGGGTGGAGGGTGGGTCCAGGCCACAGGTCAGTGCCTGGGGGAGCAGTACCCACCAGGATTGGGAAAGCCAAGTAAAGCCCCAGACTCACCACCCACCCACCCGGGACCAGCCCGATGAGCTAAGGTCCTAGGTTCAGAGCCAGAAACCTCCTCCGACCCCAGCCCCAGCCCCAGCCCTGGCCCAAAGCACTGCGGAAAATCCACACCCAGCATCCTCTCCTAAGCCGGGCATAACTTCTCAGTTTGTCCTATTTCAGAATGGGTACAAGCACTCTTTCCTTCCTGGGAGGGGCAGGGAAGCCAGTGGCATGTGAGAGGGTGGAGGAGTGGGGGAGGTCACAGGAATCTTCCCCTCCCTCAGGGAGGTGTCCTGATAAGCTAGGCCCCCTCCCCCTCAGGGCCTGAAGGAATGTCGGGGGAAGGCTCCCAGGGACACAAACACCTCTGGCCAGACCCAGGAGAGCCTGGTACTGACACAGTCCCTCAGGGACAAGGCATTCTTGGAACAGAGCAGGGCCCAGGGCAGCAGGTGCCCCAGGCTCCCTGCTTCCAGAGAAGCACCTGTGCAGGTGCTGAAGCGGCACACCTCTGACATCTCCCGCCACGCACACCCCTCACAGCCACTCTCCCACACCTCCAGGAGGCCCACCTTCTTTAGGCCCACCATGGTCAGGCCCCAAGCCTGCGGTCCACACTGCCCCTTACCCACCTCTCCACCCCCAATGGCCAAGGCGCCATGCCGAGGGCTGGCACACACGTCACCTGCCTGACACACCACCCAGCACCTCCGTGGGCTGACACGCGTGGCTCCTGGCCCTCATGTAGCTCCGCCGCCGCCCAGGCACACGCACGGGCTCACCCGCGGGGCCACTCACACACATGTGCGCGCTGCCTGGTCACGCTCGGATCCCCTCCTCACTTGCTCCCCCACCCTCCGGCTTGCTGGCCGCCCATCCCCGGCAGGGCCCAGGCGGAGGCGAGGCCGCCAACACAGGTTCCTCCCTGACACAAGGGAGCCGGCCAGCCTGTTATCTCTCAACCACCAGCCCCCAAGATCAACCCACACACCCGGCAGGCCAGGAGGGACCCAAGGCTCCTGGGACGACCTCTCCCCAAGTTGCAGGAAAATCTGGGTGTGTCCCTCGTGGGAGAACTCAGCCCGTCCCTTCCTTCCTTTAAGATGGATGGAAGGGAAAAGGAGCCTGGCAAAGTTAGGGGAGCGGGGGGAGGGAGGGGAGAGGAGGAAGGAGAGGGGCAAAAGCAGGAGTGGTGGAGGAAGGCCTGGGTGTAAGCAAATGGGGGCCGGGGACCGGGTGTGGGGGAGGGAGGGTGCTGGCGAGGCCCGGCCCCAGGGAGCTGGGACCTCCCACCCACCGGCCGCGGGAATAGCCTCGCCCACAGCCTGGGCAGGGCAGGGCAGGGCTGAGCCGGGCTGGGCCGGGCTGGCCAGGCAGGGGGCGCCGGCACGTGGAGAGCCGGTGGAAGGTCCAGACTCACCCGTAGGGGCCAGGCGGGCAACGGCGGAGGGCTCGGAGGGAACAGGGCCAGAGAGAAGTCCCCGGGGCCAGCCTGCCTGCCTGCCACTTCCTCATCTGCTGGGCCGACTTTCTGTCACCAGAGGGGGAGGGGCGGGAGCGCCCGCTGATTGGGCGGCCGGCGGGGCCGGAGGCCGGCAGCGCAGGCTCGGCCGGGGCGGGGGCAGGGGCGGGCCGCCGGGTCCCGGCAGGAAGCGCTGCGGCCCGGGCTCCCAACCCTTTCCCTCGCCGCCCGGGCCCGCCCAGGTCGGT